TTACCACTTAACTTAAAATTATATTGTTTTAATAAAATATCATAAGAAAATATTAAAATAATATCATTTTTTTAAAAAAAAATTTCTTAATTTTTTTTTTAAATTTCACTAATAAACACTTTTTAAAAAATTTATATAAATGTATAACTCTTTTTTAAGAATAATTATCAAACGTTACTAATTTACCACTAACATAGGTTTTATGATATCAATAGAAAACACAGATATATTAACAGCATTCCCACGACTTGGCTGGAATACAAGGACCCTGACCCGTTCCTTTACAACTTCACTTGCTGTTACATTATAACAGCAAGGAATGAAATAGTGATAATCATGCCAACATTTTTATGCTATAACAAACATTGCCATCACAAAAGAGTATAAAAACATGATCTACAATGGTGGTGCTGTTGCTGCTGTCACCTAATTAAAGCATTGCTAAGGAAGCCCAACCAAGCTTGCCAGGCAGTCAGGCTTCTGGCATTCACATTCAGCCTGTTTTTACCATGATCCCAATCACCAGCTTTCAAACCAATCTCCTAGGATGTTTGGTGGATGGTGATCATTTCTAATTTCTGAATTGGTCCTATTTCAATGAACACAAAATTTAATTCAATACATTTTCTATCTTTAAAAAGATTAAATTGATGACTATTAGTTAATGCATAACTTATCATATAGTACATACTATATGGCATTGATCCATCTTTTACAAAATTTCTCTAGCAAATTCATGTGCTAAACTTAGTATTTTGTTGATATTTCTATCGTTAATATTTATAGCATACTTTGGATATATTGTGAATATGAATTTTTGATAGCCAAGGTTACCTTATATTATTCCTAGGATAACATTTTTTCTATCGTTAATTCTATCATCTATTAAAGTTAGCTTTATTGGGTTGTCTATACCTGTTCTAAAAAAAGTTTTAATAAGAAATTGAATTTCTCCTATATGAATAAATCCTATTCTTGATCTATTAGGTTATTTGATTTTTGACAATTTATTTTCTATTTCTACCTTAACAAACTAGAGGTATATTTATTACTTCTATTGTATTCTTAATAGGAATACTATATTGATTAGTGGGTATTTCGTAATAGACTATATCTTTCCTCTTAAAAGAATTACTTAGAGAAATTTGACTTAAATCCTTTTTCTAATGTAAGGTCTATTTCCTTTCACCTAATTCCTTTATACATACTTTTATCGAATACAGTTAATTGGCTGTATTCTACATACCCTTCATATTCTTCAAAATAAGCTTTCCCTCCCTCAATATTCAGATTCATTGCTAGTGAAAGTGTCTAAACTTTCCACTTCGTATATACTTTCATCGCTATTTATAGAATTAGTCTCTATTTCGCTTAACTTGTCTCAAATTTTTAAATTTTTAGCATTTCCTCTTTTGCATCTTTTAGGACATTCATTGCATAGTGTCCTTCTTTGCATCCGACATGTGCATTTCTTAAGATTCTTTTTACATTTTCTTGGTGTTTTTGTTTTCTTTTATTCTTATTAAACCTTTGTTTATTACTTCTCTTAATTCTAAATCTTTTGTTTCTCTACTTGTAATTTGAATAACTACATCTTAACTTAATTGGATCACTATTTTTAGGACAACATAACTCCTTTTTTATACTCCTTTTTAATTTATTATAGCTATAGATTTCTATACACCACTCATTTATTTTGGTTTTAATGAACCAAATTCTTTGTCCTAATGTATTGGTTTTATTGTCTACATAGGTTCTACAAACTTCTACTAGCTTTAGTCCCCAAGGATTAGGGATTTTTCCAAAAAATTATTCTCTTAAACCTTTTGCCATTCCATGATTTGAGGTTCATAATAATATGTATGGAATAAATAGATATATTGGTCTAGTTCACAAAGATTATATAATTCTAAATTCTACATATTCCATACTTCTATTCTTCCAATTCTAGCTTCTTCCTTTTCTTGATTTTCTTCTCAATTTTCTCTTAAAAATTCTTTTTTTATAGCTGATTTGAACCTAGTTATTATGTAGCAATCCGACCTTTTGTCTGTTGCTAGGAGCCAGTATAATGAAACATGTAGATGTGTAGCCCTTTGCACATTGTTGGAGGCTAAATGAGGTGGTAAATCTGGCCCTTTGTCCATCACTGAGAGCTGTGTAAATATAGCCATTGTCCATTGATGGAAGCCAAAAGATGTAGCAGTGAATATCACTGCAGAGAACATGACCATAAAAAACACTCAATCATGTTGTAGAGATAGA